TTGAAAAAAAAAGGGCAGGCCCCCCCCCCCCCCAAGACAAAACAGTTTCATAAATGCCCCCGGGGCTGGTATTCAAGCAAGGTTTTTTGGCTGAAAGAGAACTTCCCCACATCTTGAGAATACAGATGGGGAGGGAAATGGTGGTTGGGGTGCCATCCAGGGACATCACAGCAAGAGGTATTTTCGGGTCTGTCAGCAATCGAGCTTCCAGCTCCAACCACACAAACCGGCACACACACACTTGCATGCCGGCGTGACAAATGAAATCTGGTCCGCTTTTTGCAAAATCAAAAGACAGAAAAGGCAGACACCCACTTGAAACAGGATGACGTGCGTGCAGACACACACACAAGGGGATCTTTTCCCCACCGAGAGCCATCTACGCACAGCTGCAATGTGAAACGCAAGCAAACACAAGGCAAACACAATCGTGGACTCACAAGCCACACATTTGTGTGTGGAGACAGAAGGACAAGATGAGGGCATCTCTCTCTCTCTCAAACACACACACAGATAGAACATCCTGGGAAATAACAGAGGGATAACTTCACTTCTGACTGTACCCTCACAAGAAACAGAATACAAGACTGGGAGGAGAGGGGGGGAATTGCATGCTAATGCATATCTAGAGAAAATGGCTTCTGCCTCCCCCCTCTTAAATCACATCAGGGTATGAAAAGGAGGAGACCCCTCTCCCCCCCCCCCCGTCAAAACGCAGGCCTCGGACTCTTACCTTTCTTTGTGCAGCAGAGCCAGTCTTTCCTTCGGCACCTTCAGCCTTTGGGAGAGCCGCCTTTTCAGACCTTCCACCGTCTCTTCCAAGGGGACAGAGAGCTCATACCGGGCCCCGGTGGTCGTGTGGATGTGAACATTCATGGAAGGGTCGCTCTGGACGGCTTCGCAGGCTGGGGGCCCCCGGCTGCAACTCCTGGGGGTGGGTTGGTGGTCCATTCGATTACCTGGGAGGGGGAGCAGAGGGTGGGAGGAAGGCTGGTTAGAGCGCTCAGGGACAGGCGGCGGCAAACAAAGGAGCCCTCGGCAAAGTGGCTCCCGGCTCCCTCCTCCAGCGGAATAAGTCCAAGGGCGTTTAAAGAAAGGAAACGAGGAAGTCGAAAAATCCTCCGCCACGGTCCGGAGGCGGCGGGACTGTCTCTGTCCTTCCCACGAATCACACAAAAACCAGACAATTTCGCCTCCGACCGGAAAATGCGGGGAGACGGACTATTCTATAAAGGGACCGGCCGCGTTGTTAAAAGGGCAACAATTATATTTGCGAATATATTATATATATATATATTTACTTTCCCCCCCACCTTGGGATCGAACGTGATGCCACACAGCGGCTGCCGCCCGCGGCGCCCTTTCTCCCCGCGGCCAGCCCCGCCGCAGCCAATCCCCGCTCTCCGAACGCCGAGACGTGGGCGCCCTGGGCCAATGGCAGCAGGCCCGCGGCTCCCCCACGTGGAAGAAAAGACCGGATACTTCGACTAAACCCCCCCACCCCACCCCCACCAAAATAGTGGGCGGGGTTTCTCGGTGCCCGGACAGAGGCACTTCGCCGCCCACACCTATTTGCAGCGCCAGCCCCCGTATTTCCTCCTCCTCCCCCGCCCTTTAAAGGGCCATTCATAATCTATATTGCAACAAAGAACTTCCCATAAAAGCATCGGCAAGGGCGTGTGTGGAAAAAACTATTTATACTTCTGCAGACAGAGGCTTCATCTGGAAAATGGGGGGAGGCGGGGGGGCGTAATTAAAAAGGTGGCTGGATCATTTAATCTAAAGCAATATTTTTAGCTTGAGGGGGAGGGAAGGTTTTATTGATAGGAATGAGCTGTTTAAAGGCCCAAGGTATTCGGTTTTGCATTATGCCCAAGAGAGTTCTCACACTCCTCGCAGCCCTGCCTCCCTAGTATATGGTTGCTTGAGAGTAAGCTACACTGAGTGGCACCTACTCCCACGTACGAATGAGCAGGATTAGCATCACAGCCTCAGCACTGATTGTGTAAGTGGCACAATTCTCCTCGCTGACCTACAGCACCAGGGAGCAAACTGGGCTAGAAACGTGGAAAACACACATGAATAAAGCTGGAAATCTTATTAAGGATTACCATGATGGCCATTTTACTGGGGAACCACTGGATAAACGGGGTCCCACAGGTGTGTTTCTGTGCAGGCCCCAATCACCGCTCTTTTTATCAGGTGACGACCACCAGTGTTCCCCCTACGCTGAGCTAGTGTGAGCTAGCTCACAGTTTTTTATCCTCCAGCTCACAGATTTTTGTCTTAGCTCTGGCAGGATGGCTCCAGAGCAAACCAATTTATGCAGGAGCCAAATCGCTCGCTCACAGCTTTAATGCCAGAAGCTCACAAAGCAGATTTTGTGCTCACAAGACTCCACAGCTTAGAGGGAGCATTGGTAAGCGCCAATGCCAATGTACATACACCCAACAGAGTTAACACCCCCCCCACACACACACACTAACAGAAGATATGCCTCAACAGTTCTACAGAATGACACACGGCCAAGCTTAGGCAAGGCAGAACAAGTTGGGAGACACAATTGTTCACATATAAAGGGTCAAGGAGCCCCATCTCCCAGGGCCTAATTTCCTGGTGGGTGTGGGGGGGGGGACAACATCTACTGGATTAGATGCTGGAGGTCCTCAGCCCATTCATCCCAGCACAAAGTGCAAGAGTTCTATCTTACAAAGCATGGAAGCAGAAAAAATCAACATGCCACAGAACATGAACAGAGTGCCTTGGGACTCTATGCCGGGCATTTGTTTGGGAGGAGTTTCCTACGCCAGAACAGACAAGCAGGCCCAGGAATTAACCGCCTTAAAATATAAAGGAACCATTTGCTGAAATAACCGGCAGTCTCAACAAACTGGCTGCCCCCCTCCCCGTGCAAATGATAAAAGCAGGTGAACGGGATATCCCCAGACAAGAAAGTGATCCCTGCCTACTCAGGGGACTTCCGAGGTACGCAGAGAAAATAGGACTTTCTAAATTAATCAACAGAAAATGGAATACAAAAAAAAAAAAAATGGGCTGCTGAAATCACAGTGTGCTCCAGAGGGAAAGACGATGGGGAGTCCGATGAAGGGAAACTGGGGGGGGCGCTCAAACCTCTGGCAGCTTACGGGAATCCTGGAGGGGAGATTGTCTGGGGGGGGTGAGGTTTCTGAATTGTGCCCCCAAATTCCTCATGCCCCCCCGAGAGTTCTTATTAACAGGAACAATGTAAGAGGAGGCTTCTCTACAAACTGCAGAAGCGTGGAGTCACACCGGACTCTTCATCACCCAGGTCCCCAATGCCACTCCAACTCAGTCTAGCATTGTTTTAACTCTCCCTCCCTGTAGATTTCACTTGGCCAGGGTGAGACTCCATTGGGGTTGGAGCCTGGCAGGAAGCCCCCCCCCTCTGCTCCCCCCCATCTGTCAAAGTGCCGCATTGTAGGCAGGACTGACTCACTAGCTTCTGACCTCTCACAAACTGGATCAGATGGTTGCCAGGTCTGGGTTGGAAAACAGCTGAAGACTTTGGGGGTGGAGCCAGGAGAGGGCGGGGTTTGGGGAGGGGAGGGGCCTCGGCATGGTACAAGGCCATAGAGTCCACCCTTCAAAGCAGCCATTTTCTCCAGGGGAGCTGGCCTCTGTCAGCTGGAGATCAGTTGTAAAAGCAGGAGATCCCCAGGCCCCACCTGGAGATTGGCAACCCTAGGATCAGAGCAGAGGCATCTCAAGGCAGTAAACCAAGCTGGACATTACAGAGGGGATGGGGAGATACATTCTGCACAGCAGGGCCTGCCTGGAGAGGACGGCCCTCCCCAGATCGGTGCTGCACATAAAAAAAATCCTAGCCCAGACTAGCCTGATCTCACCAGATCTCAGAAGCTAAGGAAGGGCTGGCCTCGCAGGGCTATCGTTTGGATGGGAGACCACCAAGGCATGCCAGGGTCGCAAGCCATGGCAAAGCACCTCTGAACATCTCTTGCCTTGAAAGCCCTAAGGGGTCACCAGACGTCAGTTGCGACTTGATAGTGCTCACTTCCTCCTTCTGTGTCCCCCTCTGCAGGGAGTCAGGGTGGCGCAGTGGTTAGAGTGCCAGACCAGGAGCCGGGAGAGCCGAGTTCAAATCCCCACTCTTCCATGAGGCTCACCGGGTGAGGTCTAGGTCCATAAGCATATGGAGCAGAGGTCCATCAGTGGCTATTAGCCACAAAGTATAGATAGGAGCTCTCGGTCTGGGGCAGTGATGCTCTGTATTCTTGGTGCTTTGGGGGGGGGGCAACAGTGGGAGGGCTCCTAGTGTCCTGGCCCCGCTGGTGGACCTCCTGATGGCACCTCATATTTCTGGCCACTGTGTGACAGAGTGTTGGACTGGATGGGCCATTGGCCTGATCCAACATTGGCCTCTCTTAAAGAGGGAACCAGGGAGCTCCCTGGAGGAAGACGGTATAAAAGGTAAAGGTAAAGGTTCCCTTGCTCGAAAGCCAGTCGAATCCGACGCTAGGGTCGTGGTGCTCATCTCCGTTTCAAAGCCGAAGAGCCAGCGCTGTCCGAAGACGTTTCCGTGGTCATGTGGCCGGCATGACTAAACACCAAGGTGCACGGAACGCTGTTACCTTCCCACTGAAGTGGTACCTATTTATCTACTTGCAATTTCTTGCTTTCAAACTGCTAGCATATCACAAGGCAAAATACTTTTTTATTTAAAAAACCCCTTACAGCCAGTGTTCCCTCCAAGCTGAGTCAGTGTGAGCCAGCTCACAGTTTTTTAGCCTCCGGCTCACACATTTTTGTCTCAGCTCAGGAAGGATGGCTCCAGAGCAGACTAATTTATGCAGTAGCCAAATGGCCCGCTCACAACTTTAATGCCAGCAGCTCACAAAGTAGAACTTTTGCTTGCAAGACTCCACAACTTAGAGGGAGCGTTGCTTACAGCTGCTTGAAAGTGTGCATCTTTGTCCAGGGAAACCTCTGGAGCCAGCAGCGGGGGTCTGAATTAAATTTCCAATGGTAAAAAATGAAGGGCTTCAGAGCCTGACATATTCTCCCCCCCCACACACACACACTTAATGATTATCAAAAGCAGAATAAATTATTCTGACACCCCTCCGCCTATCCTAGCTGTGGGGGAACAGGTGGTGCTCACCCAGTGGCCAAGTGTGGGCCAATGCGCTGGAAATATGCTCAGAGGCAAAGGGGGGGGGCGCCTTGGGAGAGCAAAGGCCTCCTACAGAGAAGGAATTACTCTGGTTCATAAATAGGATGGAGGCTTTAAAGATGGCTCACACCCTGGAGGATAAGCCAGGGAAGGATCTAGGGGGAAGTTCCAAGTGGTTATTTCATAGGCCGGAGTGATCTGAGGTCACCTCAAAAAAAAAATCTCTTTTGCAGGAAGAGTTTTTCTTTTCCCAACCTGGCAACGTGGATTATTGCATTATGGGGAAAAAAGCTTCAGGTTTGTTTGTTTTTTTAAAAGGCCACACTGATGTAGCAGGACACAGTTTAAGTTCATATGCTTTTCCTCAGCCTTGAATCCAGGGTGCCTTTGAGGGTGCAACAAGGTTGGTATGTGGTCTTACCCCCCCTTGCATTCCCCCCTCCTTCAGAATGGTACTAAGGAATCAGTTTGTTGCTGTTGCCTAAAGTCACTGAGTTATTAGCTGATTTTTACAACAACATAATTTTATAAATTATGATTGGCAACACGGAATTTATTTGGCAGAGGGAGGAAGAGAGCGAGAGAGAGATTCTCTAGTCTAGAATGAGTCAGCAAAGCAATGGCGCCCTCTGCTGGCAAGGACTAAAATATCAACACTAAGAAACAATAGGTCCGGGGAGGCGGAGAAAATACATCAGGGAGCATAAATATCCTTAATTATTTGGGTGGCAACATCAGTATAAATGGTGCTTTAGAGAATTTCATTAGCAAATCATAT